ATCATTCTCTCCTGTGCCCACTCCGTTCCAGGTACGCTGGCCTCCTTGTGTTCCTTCAACACATCAAGTGCAGTTGCACCCCAGGACCTTAGCCATTACTATTCCTTCTGCTTGGAACACACTTCCCCCAGACCATCCCATGACTCACTCCCCCAATTCAGCAGGTCTCTGCTCATATGCTCCCTCTTCAGAGAGGCCTTCCCTGCCTCTCTGTCTCAAGTCACACCATCACCCCTCCCCCACCGCTGCTACCTCTTCCCTTGCTTTGCTTTATTTTCCTTTTAATCCTTATCACCCTCAGACATAAGATGTTAGTTGACCCTCACAATGACTCACCGAGGTAAGTACTATTATTATTCCCACTTGAGAGATAAGGCAATTAGGCTCAGAGAGGTGACTTGATATGTGCAAGATCACTCAGTTGATAAATGGCAGTGCCAGGGTTTGAACTCTAGTCTGACTCCAAAGATGCAGTATTTAGCACCACTGCTTGTGGCCATCTCTACTTCCCATGACAATGAATGAATAAATGCCTGAGTAGAGACAAAATGTTTGCCACCCCAAATACTAGCAAGCCAGTGCTCTAAGGATAACATTTGTAATTGTATCAATGTTCTCTGATGCTAATATGGGTTAGGTGGAAAATATTTTTTTAATTACAAAGAATGACAATACAAAATTGACAAGGATGTGACAAAACTGGAAACCATACATCACTGGTAGGAATGCAAAATGGTATAATTACTTTGAAAACCAATTTAGCATTGTATTCTAAAGTTAAACATACACTTACTATATGACCCAGCAATTCCACTCCAAAGTATTTAACCAATAGAAATGAACACATGTCCACACAAAGACTTGTACATGAATGTTCATAACAGCTTTATTCTTGTAACAAAAGGAACCCAAATATCCACCAACAAGTAAATGGATAAACAAATAGCGATACATCGGTACCATGGAATGCTTATCAGCAGTGAAAAGGAACAAAATACTAGAATATGAAACAACATGGAAACTCTTAAAAGCAATATGTGAGTAAAAAGACACATGAAAAAGAAACATACTGTATGATTGCATTTATGTAAAATCCCAGAAAAGACAAAGCTAATGTATAATGACAAAAAATCCAATCAGTTGTTTCCTTAGGAAATGAGTGGGAGAAGTTGAGTGCAGCAGGGTATAAGGGAACTTTTGGGAGGGATAGAAATGTTCTATATCTTGATTAGTGTGGTGGTTACACAGATGTATACAGTTGCCCAAACTCATCAAGCTGAGTATTTTAAATGGTGCATTTTATTTATAAGATTATGCCACAATAAAGTTAATAGGGGCTTTGGGAACACATACAAGAATTTTTATTGCAGCATCACTTGAATACCAAAAAACTTGGAGAAATTGGCTGTTAGCAGGAGAATGTTTCAGCTATCAGTGGTCCTTTGCCATCAGAATGGCAGACTTTTGGAAGAAGATGTAGCTGATGCTGACGATGACCCTCTACTGTCCCGGGAACCTGCATCTCTCTTCCTAGAGGCTCTCTCTGGTGACTGGAGCATGCATGGGGCAGACCAGAAATGCTGGAGGATTAATATCCCCCTGGGAGCAGCCCTCATCCAATGTCTGGCAGGCGTTGGTGTGTAAATACCCCAGCTCCCTAAAGCCTCAGGTGGGATAACTCTGAAGTGGGAGCAGGATTGAGCTCCAGGAGCCCACAATTGGAGCTTCCTTGATAATGCTCTCTCTCTCTCT